CGTACGGAAAATCTACGCATACCGTTAGAAAGCTATTTTCCTGTAGGTGTGCAGAATCCCTTTATAAACTAAATAAGGCACAAAAATAAGCACAAAAATTGAATTTGAAATTTAAAAAAATTAACATGGGTTTTATGGGTTGCTATGGTGATGACGAAATAACAACAAAATATAAACAGAAAATCAAAACAAATGGAAGACATTCCAATCACATGTTTTATTTAACGGTGTGGGGTGAAAATAGAGAAGTTTGCACAAAACATACTTTTGGTCGATTTTTCGACCACGGGGCGTGCTCTCGTTGATTTAATTCTGCATCAAGTAGAGTATAAACAGCTGTTTGCTCTCCTCATTCAGTCCTCAACCCATATACAGACCGGACCCGTCTAGACCTCGCCATAGTACCACTCAAAAACCTTAGACTCGTAATTTTAACCTTCTTTTTACAGTCACTTAGGAATCTCTCCGTCAAAAACTGATTGCATTTATGGATTCAGAGTGAAAAACTGTAAGTTGACATATAAAAATTACATCCATATGGAATAATTGTCATTTAAACTTTTGTTAATAGGCTGTTTTACTTTAATCTTTTTTATTTATTGCTGAAAGACTGTTGTGAAATGGAAGTTGTTTGCTTACACTAGAAATGGGATTTGTACCATTTAGATGACTATCACATACTAAGTTTTTATCAAAATAATTCAAGCCGCTATTGAGAAAATTTAATTTTTTCTGTTATTTTGTGGGTTTTATAGGAAAACCACTATTAAAATATCAAAATTTTGAAAAATGAAAAAAAAACTCATGGAGATACCAAGGATTAGTACCTACATACCAAATTTCATCAACATCGGACCACAGGTGTAGTCTGTAACTCTGTACACTACCACACACACATACATCACTTCGAAAAACACTTAGAAAAAAAAAGTAAACATATAAAATTACATCTTTACCCAGTGTACCTATACGGAATGCTTTTTAAACTTTTGTTAAGAGACTGTTTTATTTTTATTAGCGAATTGCCCAAAACGGAATAAGCTATAAACGTAGTACGGTACTCATGGTAAGACCGTGTAAAACTACGTTTATTCGGAGGAGTTTTCGAACCAGCATGATGGGACTATTGGAATGGGTAAATTAAATAAATTTAAAATTTTTATGAAAGGGGGGTTTATATGGGATGTTATGGGGTAAAAATTGGCTTTCTCATTTTTGACCTTATAACAAGAAAATTTTCAATTTATTTCCACACTATTTTTGCAGCTTAAAAAAAAATAATTTAGTATATTGAAGCGTAATTATGCGCCTAATGGTTACCGTGAACATTAAAAATATTGTAAATAAAAAATTTGTATGTTATTTCTATTAAACTGTTGTAATTTGCTTGTTTATGAACATATTTTGTTCAATTTTGGAAAATGTATTTATTTCATACTAAACTATAACCATTTCACACAAAAGAAACACTGTTTACCCTCCCTGTTGCAGCAAACCTAAAAGTAATAACTAAACCAATGCTACTGTAATAGGGAATAGACGCGATATTTTTATGGAGATATTTTAGAGAAAATCCATTCAGGCAGTGGCGGTCCCAGGGGGGATGGGAGGGATATAACTCGCCCCGAAATATTTTATATTTTATTAGCTAACATAAAAATATGTTTTTAGGCTTTAAATACCCAATTATTCTATTTTTTCCGGAGGGAAATTCTATACAATCCAGTCCTCCTGGAGGTCATCCCCACAAAATGAAATCTTGAGACTACCACTGCAATCAGGAAAATGGAAATTTGTTAAGTCTGCAGGTTTGCTGCAGCGGGGGGATCTTGTTTATTTATTGCTGAAAGACTGTTGTTTGCCAGAATGATGTTTGCCTACACTATAAATGGGATTCGTACCATTTTCTTCAGAATTTATAACATAGTAAGTTTTTTCCAAAATAATTTGGGCCGTTATCATAGATATAACATAGTAAGTTTTTTCCAAAATAATTTGGGCCGTTATCATGGATAAAACATACTCCCTTAGTAGATTTCTCATCCTTATGGAACAGCTGAAGACAATTTTATTGTTAGTTCTGTACGGTTTTCTGTAGAGGTCGTGTTTTGTTTACAATTTGTTTCCAGTTATTACAGCCATTTAAAACCTCGTTTAACCAAATGATACGATCTAATGATAAACAATAACCTGTCCCCTAGTTATATAACCAAACAGCAAAGCACAAATCAAGAAATTAACCCTAAAATAATAGAAACAAAGTTTCGTCGACACTAGCGCCCATGTGTCACGTACATGAACTAGACACGAAAAACGTGCTTCAAAATTTACAATGGGATGAGAAGTCTACTTGTGTTGGTTAGTCTATGCCGTTATTGAGAAAATTTAATTTTTCTGTTATTTTATGGGTTCTTATAGAAAAACCACCATTAAAAATGGATTAGTACCTACATACCAAATTTCATCAAAATCGGCCCACTGGTGTGGTCTGTAACTCTGTACACATCCACACACACAGATATCACTTCAAAAAACACTTTTTTGGATTCAGAAGACCCAAAACGGATATATTCAGTCAAAACTCAAATTTGGAAATATTGACGAAAACAATACTTTCTCTATATAGGCTAGGCTACTCACTATATTTTGGTTCAGAGGGAACCAAAACGGATACATCCACTCAAAACTCAACAAAAACAATACTTTGTATTATGTATATGGAAATAAAGTAAAAACTGTAAATTAAAAATTCAATGTTATTCTTATTCAGATTATTTAACTCTTGCGGTTCGCTTGTTTTATGGATATATTTTGATCAAACTTGGCAAATGTGTCTTTTATGTACTAAGCTAAATATATTGTATTGTATTTTATAATTAATTAAAAACACACTTTACTACCCCTGTAGTGGCAACCTTGGTACTTAAACAACATTATGGTATTTAAGTCTATTTAAAAAAAATCAGGCAAATAAGAATTCGCTTAGGCTGAAGGTTTGCTACTGTGGGGGTATTTAATGCTGCACTTGTGTGATTTTGTATCGCCTACTCTTTTCTATGCCTATTCTTTTGTAATATATTGCACAAACGCCATTTTGTTTTATAATTATTTGACATTATTTAGTTATTTGTGTATAATTGGTATTTTTCTATCTAAGAGTATTTTAAAGAGGATGTAATGTTTGCACAATGGTAAAATTAAAGAACTTATATTTATATGAATATTTATTTATCAAAAGTAACTTTAACAAATAGAAAGTACAAGTGGATTTGTTCAATTTGATTCTGTGACCACTTGAACAAAAATTTTATTAACTTAAGAGATCAATAAGTTTAATACAGTAAGCTTTTTACTGCAATTTGTAAAACAATATCCTTGATGGTTTTGTACAAACTGTAAATTATATTCTCTTTTTAATAAGGTTGAACAACTGTAACTTTCAACTTGGTACTCTGGTATGTCTAGTCTCTTTGACATTTAAGGACAACATACACTTATACTGTAAGTACATTCAAGGCTATCAATATTTAATACAAGTCTGCTACAATGTAAATTATAAGTAAAAGCACACTTTGCATGTCCTACATATGTAAAGTTGCTCTCTACCATGTAACAATGTATGTTCCCTTGAATAAGTGTAAAGAATTAATTGTTTAAAATTCTTCGAAATTTAACTTATATAATTCTATAGAAGTTTTCATATGTGGTGCACTTATGAGATCGCTCTCCTGCATGAATCAAATTATGTTTCTTAATTTTCTTATTGATGGCGAAGGATGTACGTCACTTATAAGATCCTTATCTAGTATGCACCAATGTATGTCTTCTCAATTTGTTATAGAATTTGAAGGATTTTCCACATGTAGTGCACTTATGAGATGCTTCTCCACAGGGGTGCCCAGAGGGGGGGTACTGTGGCGCGTTTGCGCCACAGGAATTTTTGGGGGGGGGACTTTTTTGAGGGGATTTTGGGGGGGGATGTTTTTTGCTAGCTGTCATAATGAATGAATAATTTTGTATAAGCAGCCCGAAAAAGTGTTTCTAAGTAGCTCACTATCAACACCAATAACATTTTGCCATTCGTAATTAAGATTTGCTTCTAAGAATGGTAAAAACGCACCTTGTAAGACAATCCTTAATATACCAGTGTCAGTGTCGAATTTTATTTGCTACATATGTTTTGGTGGTTCTTTACCTCCACCACACAAAACACGAATCGATTACAGATAGGCCTATCAATTCACGCGTATATATTGCCGTCGTCAGAACTGGAAGTAAACTGAATCAGGTTCAGGTTATGACGGACAGACGTGGTCTCTGGATTGTCGTCTGCATTGTCACCAGCTGATATAGGACTATTGTAGTGACTGAGAAGAGTGTTAAAAGTATAATTGGATTCATAATTAATTGAGTGTTTTCACTCAAAAATTTTGCGCTGTCCCTAGTTTTATGTATTTATATATTTCAAACTCCTCAAAGTATTTAATAAATTTCCTTTCGTGCAGTACTGTAGAATTTCGAGACCATAATTTATATCCAGCAGATAAATTGGTTATTATTGTCAATAATTTTAAATGGAAAACTCAATTATGAATCCCATTATATTTTCAACACTCTCCTCCGTCACTACAACTAGTCCAATATCAGCTTTTGATAACACAGACGACAATCCAGAGACCACGTCTTTCCGTCATAACCTGATTCAGTTTACTTCCAGTCCTGCCTGCGGCAATATACTCACGTGAATTGATAGGCCTATCTGTTATCGTTTCGTGTTTTGTGTATAAACAGATTGTCTGACAAGATGCGTTTCTACCATTATTAGTCATAAAAGGCAATCCTGGGGCTATCAAAATTAATTATAAGATTACTTCGTCACAAAAACCTTTTGTGGGTATTTTGCCTGGCAATTTTTGTAGAGTAAAATCGAGTTTTTGGAGTGTGTTGTTTGGAGTGGCGGTGTTTGTAGAGCCAGGGAGTGGCGAGCAACAAGTCTGTCTTATTTCGTGACTGCCTATAATTTTGAAAAAAAAAAAACTTTGCCAAAGTATTATTAATGCATTTTTAAAGCGGTTTGATTTCTTAAAATTCTTCTCTGAGATTCTTTCTCTGTAAAATTTAACGCCACCTAATATATTGTACAGTTACAATACTGTGTTGGAGTAGAGTAATTCACCTAGTACAGTATATTGTTGTACGTTTTGAAGACGTTATTGCAGTACTGAGCACATGTTAGCTGACAATAGAGATTCTGAAATGTAAATTGAAACACTTCTAATTCGTCCATTAGTTAGATATACCTGATGAAGTATTGTTAAATGTTGTTAACGTTTCCTATTAAACATTTAATTTTTATTATCAGCAAGTTTGTTTTTCTTTACCTCAAGTTTACTAAATACTAAATTGGAATGCTCGTTTTATGAGGTAATGGGAAAATTGTCAGATAAATTGGTGGGGGGGGAGGGTAGGTTTAAATAGACGGCAGCATAAATTGGGGGGGAGAACTACTCCTTTGGCTTGGGGGGGGCGGGGGTTGCGCCTCTGGGTTTGGGGGGGATGGGCACCTCTGCTTCTCCAGTATGAACCAATGTATGTTTATACAAAGAGTATTTGGCTGTGAAGGACTTTCCACACGTATCACACTTATAAGGTCGCTCTCCAATATGAACCTTTGTATGCCTCTTCAATTCGTGGTTGGTTTTAAAGGATTTTCCACATGTAGTGCACTTATAAGACCGCTCTCCCGTATGAACCACTGTATGCCCCTTCAATTCGTGGTTGGTTTTAAAGGATTTTCCACATGTAGTGCACTTATAAGGCCGCTCTCCCGTATGAACCACTGTATGCCTCTTCAATTCGCGGTTGGTTTTAAAGGATTTTCCACATGTAGTGCACTTATAAGGCCGCTCTCCCGTATGAACCACTGTATGCCTCTTCAATTCGTGGTTGGTTTTAAAGGATTTTCCACATGTAGTGCACTTATAAGGCCGCTCTCCAGTATGAACCACTGTATGCCTCTTCAATTCGTGGTTGGTTTTAAAGGATTTTCCACATGTAGTGCACTTATAAGGCCGCTCTCCAGTATGAACCACTGTATGCCTCTTCAATTCGCAGTTCTTTTTAAAGGATTTTCCACATGTAGTGCACTTATAAGGCCGCTCTCCCGTATGAACCTTTGTATGGTCCTTCATGTTTCTTTTTTTTGTGAAGCATTTTCCACATGTTGTGCACTTATAAGGCCACTCTCCATAATGAACCTTTGTATGGTCCTTCATATTGCTTTTGGTTGTAAAAGATTTTCCACACGTAGTGCACTTATAATAAGGTCGCTCTCCAGCATGAACCAATGTATGACTATTCAAATTGCCTTTGGTTGTGAAGGATTTTCCACATGTATCACACTTATAAGGCCGCTCTCCAGTATGAACCATTGCATGTCTTCTCAAATCGCTTTTGGCTGATAAGAACTTTCCACATGAATCACACTTATAAGGGCTCTCCCAAGAGTGTTTTAACAAATGACTCTTTACTTGATGTAGTTTGATAAAGGTTCTCTCACATATCAAACATTTAAAGGGGCACTCACCCGTATGTTCCAATATATGATTCCTCATTTTCCACTGAGGTGAAACAATTATTTTACAAAATGCACACTTATACGGAAGCTTTAACATATTTACTTCCTAACTTTATAGTACTTGTCAGATTACCTAGTAAGTAAATAGATAACTTAATTTGTCAGTTATGATTTGTATGTTACATAGAGATCTCAACAATATTAAAACATTTCTTGCTTAAATCTTGTTGTGTTGAAGATATTTTAAATCCTACCGCATAAATGTTAATTGTACAGTAATTTAATAGTTTCACAGAGCAATAATTTACTTTCATCTGTTCTTTATATAGTGTTTAATAGAATGTAATTTTTATCTGCTGTTCGTAGTACAACCTTATGTCAGACATTATATGAAGCTTTTCTGTGAGGAACTTGAGTTTATTTTTCTCTATGTCTGGGAAAGCTAATGCCAGTTCTGAAAAAGACCAGAATTTATTAGATATATATATTTGATTAAACATATAATATTTTAACACTTTTATTTATCATTTTATGAAGTTTTAACAATTATATCGATAGCTTATAAATATCGAATGATCCAAAATTAGGGTTGTACATGTCATTCAAAATATTAAAATGCTAAATGAAGTATCTCTAATGGATATTACATACTTTGGTTTACATTTATGATATCTATCATAAATGCTGGTTGTAATAAAAATTCTATTTTTACCGAGCATATTATTGACTTTCATTTTGTTCTTTATTATAGTGTTTATTATAATACCCTTTTCAGCTGCTGTTCAAAGTATTATATAAGAAATCATATGAACCTTTACTGTGATGACTTGAGTTTATTTTCTTTATGTCAGGGTAAGACTTTTGCCACTCCTGAAAAATGCCATGTCGTATTGGTCATTTACAATTTTATAATATATCATATTTAACAAATAATGTATTATTGAAAACTACGTAAAATTTAAATTTTTTTGCCACTTGAAATTTTTTTAATAAAGTTGTAAAAACACATAAATACAGACAGACGGAAAACTAAGCTCCACCGACCCATGCTCCTATGGTGAAGTGTTTGTCTTGACCTAAGGAATATACATATGTACAGAGTTACGGAACACCCTGTATTTAGGTGACAGGTTTTTTTTTAAATTTCATTGTGAACTAACCACTTGATGGATTTTCATGACTTTTTGGTTGAAACCGTTTTGAAAGAAAGATAATTTTGGGAACTAGGTAATTTTGAAAATAAGATTTCAGTTTAAGGGTTCAGTTTTTTTTTTTTTTTTAAATTAAGTTTTAATTTTAAACAAGTGTAGCAGACGCTAAAATTCTAGATTAGCTTTTGGTACAATGCCATTTGCTTAACAGCTGTTATCATTCAGTGATTGTGACACAAATTCAGCATTTGGATAAAAATTAAATTGGATACATAGGGTTGACTTATTTATATACTATGTGTAATGCTAAAATCATTTATACATTCATTTAATCAGTAAGAGGGTAACAATTTATTTAAATATACATAGTAAAATACTAGCTGTTCTAATTTAACTTTTAGAGCAGCATTCAAAATCTTGGGTTTGTTTTAGTGCAGTATAATTTTGTTGTACTAACAGCTGGATGGATATAAAAATACTCTTTAGCACTAACTGTTGAGTTATTTTATTTAGTCTATGGTTTTGTCATTGATCATAGGAAATAAGTAAGATTAGCAGAGAAGAGTAGATCACAGAGATAAGTATAAGACCATTGTATACAACCGAGGCTCTGCCCACAGGTCCAAAAAGAAAAGCCTTAATTTGATTTTACTCTGATTTGGAATATTTAATTTTAGATATACAGGGTGCGGCAAAAAAACCAATCCATTTTCTGCAGAGCACTGTTCAGCGACAGGTCGTCTGAGAGTGGTGAGAGTAGGCTCGAAGGCTCGTTGGAAAGCCTACACAATGCCATTGTTTTGTAGTAATAGAGCAGTGGTCGCCTAAGCTACGTGCGGTTGTTATGGAGTGGTTTTTAAAAGGTATTGAGTTCATTCATTGCAACTCAGCGGAATCGGCAGTTTCACACATTATTTCAATTAGGGTGACATGAAGAAGTTCCGTTGCGTATCACAATAATGTGGTGGGTTACTAAGTTTAGAACAACGGCTTCTGCATTAAAAAGGTAGCCGAAAGGCCATCCAAAGTCAGATCGGACGCCAGACAACTTACATTCGATAGAGTTCATGCTGCTGTGGAAAACAGTCCTCGCAGGCACGCCAGAAAACAATTGGCTACTCGAACATGTCTGACTGCTCAGATACACAAATTCTGAGGTTAATTTTCATCCCTACAGATCAATTAGAATAATAATCTGTTTTATAATCATGTTATCCATACAGATAATCACGACAGAACCTCTCCATGTCGACCTAATAGAATAAAAGCACAGAACTGCCACTGAGTTGCAATGACTGGTTTACTACTTTTGAAAAACTACTAGAAAACAACCGCACGTAGCTTATACAACCACAGCTCTATGACTACGATAAATGGTATTGTATAGACTATCCAACGAGCCTACTCCCACCACCCTCGGATGGCCTGTGCTGAATAGTGCGCTAAAGAAAATAGATAGGTTTTTTGCCGCACTCTCTATTTACTCAGTTCTAATTACATTACTTACTATATGTTTTAATCCAAGAACCTTCAGTGAAGTTGTAAATTAAAAATTCCCATGTGATTCTTATCGAGATTATGTAAACTGTTGTAGGTCACTTGTTTTATGGATATGTTTTGATCAAACTTTGCAAATTTATTTATTTTGTACTAAGCTAAATATATTGTATTGTATTTTATAATTTATCAAACACACACTTTACTCTCATCCCTGTAGCAGCAAACCTTAATACTCGTTAAACCTCAAGGTATTTAAATCTATTAAAAACTAAAAATTAAATCAGACAAATAGGAATTCGCTTAGGCTGCAGGTTTGCTACGGTGGGAGTATTTAATGTTGCACTTGTGTGATTTTTTATCGCCTACTCTTTTTTAAAACGTTTTTATTAGCTCGCTTTCTTGTCCGGTACAAATTTTGCAATCAATTTTATACTAACTTCCCAATGAGCTAGAAACTTGAAACATAGCTCAAAAATGGAAGACAATGCAATATTATATCATTTGATTTCCATATTTCCCTTGGGCTACGCCCCATGGGCTTGTTTTTATTAACTCGCTTTCTTGCAAATTTTTATACTTCCCGATGAATTAGAGACTTGTTTTTATTAGCTCGCTTTCCTACAAATTTTGATATCAATTATAAACGAAGTTCCTCATGAGCTAGGGACACGAAATTTGAAACATAACTCACAAATGGATGACAATGCAATATTATATCATTTAATTTTCATATTACCCTTCGGCTACGCCCCATGGGCTTCCAAATTTTCCATGTTTACATTTTGAAAGAATGTAAATATATCAATTAATTTAAGTCAGCTGTAAATACTTAAATTTTACCGTTCGAAGAGCAGAGGTTGAGAGGTACAGGTTATGGTCCCAAGAGATTCTTTATACAAACAAAAATTTAAAAATAAAGATAAACAATCTGATTGCATATATAAAGGTGTTTGTTAATAATGTCAATTGTTATTTATTTAGTATTCTATTAAGTAAACAATAAATTAAATAGATTGATATATTTATAGTTAGTAGGTGAAAAGAAACTAAACAAATGTTAGATTTTCCACACGCCTCTGTCTTAATCTGATATATATGCTTGAAATAGATTTAACATCCACACACATGAAAAACTAAAAAAGTAGAAAATAATTTATAGATAAAATTTTTTTTTTAAACAAAACGTTTTTTTATTTATTAATTATTATGTATTCTTTTGTCATATATTGCACAAATGCAATTTTGTTTTATAATTATTTGACAGTATTTAGTTATTTGTGTATAATTGGTATTTTAGTAACTAAAAGTATTTTAAAGAGGATGTAATGTTTGCACAATGGTAAAATTAAAGAACTTATATTTATATGAATATTTATTTATAAAAGTAACTTATTTTAACAAATAGAAAGTACAAGTGGATTTGTTAAAGTTAATTCTGTGACCACTTGAACATTTTATCAACTAAAAAGATCAATAAGTTTAATACAGTAAGTTTTTTACTGAAATTTTTAAAACAATATCCTAAATGGTTTTGTACAAATTGTAAATTATATTATCTTTTTAATAAGGTTGAACAACTGTAACTTTAAACTTGGTACTCTGGTATGAACAAATGTGTCAAGTCCCTTTGACATTTTAGGACAAAATACACTTATACCGTAAGGACATTCAGGGCTATCAATAATTAATACAAGTCTGCTATACTGGAAATTATAAGTAAAAGAGCATTTTGCATGTCCTACACATGTAAAGTTGCTCTCTAACATGTAACAATGTATGTTTCCTTGAATATCAAGTATAAATAATTTATTTCAATTGCTTAAAATTCTTCGAAACTTATATAATTCTACAGAAGTTTTCATATGTGGTGCACTTATGAGATCGCTCTCCTGCATGAATCAAATTATGTTTCTTAATTTTCTCATTGATGGCGAATGATTTTGCGCATATAGGTCACTTATAAGATCCTTAACTAGTATGAACCAATGTATGTCTATTTAAATTGCTTTTGGTTGTGAAGGATTTTTCACATATAGTGCACTTATAAGATGCTTCTTTAGTATGAACCAATGTATGACTATTCAAATTGCCTTTGGTTTTGAAGCAATTTCCACATGTATCACACTTATAAAGTCGCTCTCCAGTATGAACCTTTGTATGGTCCTTCAAATATTTTTTTTTCGTAAAAGAATTTCCACACGTAGTGCATTTATAAGGCCGCTCTCCCGAATGAACCACTGTATGCCTCTTCAATTCGTGGTTGGTTTTAAAGGCTTTTTCACATGTAGTGCACTTATAAGATGCTTCTTTAGTATGAACCAATGTATGACTATTCAAATTGTCTTTGGTTTTGAAGCAATTTCCACATGTATCACACTTATAAGGTCGCTCTCCAGTATGAATCAATATATGTCCCTTCAAACTGTTTTTGGTTGTGAAGGACTTTCCACATGTAGTGCACTTATAAGGCCACTCTCCAGTATGAACCACTGTATGCCTCTTCAATTTGTGTTTGGTTTTAAATGATTTTTCACATGTAGTGCACTTATAAGGGCTCTCCCAAGAGTGTTTTAACAAATGACTCTTTACTTTATTTAGTTGGATAAAGGTTCTCTCACATATCAAACATTTAAAGGGGCGCTCACCCGTATGTTCCAATATATGATTCCTCATTTTCCACTGAGGTGAAACAATTATTTTACAAAATGCACACTTATACGGAAGCTTTAACATATTTACTTCCTAACTTTATAGTACTTGTCAGATGACCTAGTAAGTAAATAGATAACTTAATTTTTTAGTT